TCGGCCTTTTCAGCGCTCGTCTCATCCAAATGTTTGAATCTCAAGCAATTGGTTGCAAACAATTTCGACTCTCCGGCCAGCGATCAGTCATTGACGGAGATCTGCGACAAATTCAAACAATTGAAATGTCTTGACATCAGTCTTGGAAACTGCACTGAAAAGACATTTCATTTGAATTCGTTTACAAACTCTGGCTTCTCATCGATCGCACGACTGAAGCAATTGCAGAGTTTGACGATCAAAAAGGTATGCATTTTGGATGATTTGGCGTTATTGCAAATCATCCAAAACTGTCCGCTTATCAGCCATTTAGCCATTGATATGCGGACAGAAACTATGGTTACGGACTACTCGATCGCTTTGATTTCCAGGTATTTAAAATCGATCGAAAGCTTGGAAATCAGTGGCAATCATTCAATAAGTGACAGCGCCGTCATCGCCGCCATCACCGGATTGTCGCGCCTCAAGAAGTTGGTTTTGTTTGACATGAGTATCACCAATAATGTCATCAAATTTGCCGCAAAGAATTGCCCGCATTTGAGGCAAGTATTCATCAATCGCTGCCATCGCGTATCAAAACCGGCGTTAAATGAAATCATTGAAAGAGCAAAACTGAGTCCTTCTTGGGATAGGTTTCACTTCGAGGCAATCAATACAAGAATTCTGATCCGAACTATCGTCAGGAATCGCGTCCTTCTCATCAAGAATTTGCCCCCAAATCTATCCTTCAAAGTCTCATTGTAATCTCCTCCAGAAATAAAAACCAAGTTAAGGTGTTGAAAACCAATGTTAGGATTTGGATTTACCCAAACTTAATAAGTGTTAAGAAGCGGTCAAGAGATAGAATATCAGTTTATTTGTGTTTTTCAGCTCATGTTTACGTATTAATTAGATGTCTTAAATTGAGATAATTATTTGCTTTTATTTATGAATCAAGTGTTAAATTATAATTAAAATACTTTTAAGATCTATGAAATAATGACAAGATTATATGTAAGCCTTTAGAGCAGGAAAATAATAATATGTACTATAATTAGTAATTTTTTATGCACTTTTATAAGTTTATAAGCAAAACTAGTTTTATAATATAAAATTTTTAAAAAAATAATAATCTTTGAAAACTATTTTATGATGATTAAAGTGTAGAGGAATTAATTGAAAATGATTACAACTACAGAATGAAATAAATGAGATTTAGTGTCAAATGCACTCAAATTGTATTCAATTGTATGAATGCTGGCAATGAATCGCAGAGTTCATCGGAAGTGTTAGACCGGAGATGTTTTCACACAAACTATAGGTTTGTAACAAATGAATGAAAAGAAAGGTTTTATTGCATAAAACATTTGTCCAAAATATACATTTAATGACATAATTATAAAAATAAGCCCATATAATGAGACCTTCTATAGCTGGTAGCAAATAACTGATCCAAACAATACCATAGCATTTGGTCCATAGGTTTAGTTTAAGGATAGTTTAAATACAAATTCAATATAAGTTCATAAAAGTAGAGAATAATATAGTTTTTATTAAAAGTTTTTTTTGATACCAAAACTTTTTCATAGAGTTTGCGTTGCATTCAAATGAGGTTTGCATTGAATGGCAATGAGAGGGGAATGTGTTGTCATTGACAACACATGTCAACAGCTTTTAAATGTTTTTGACTTTCACTGTAAATGAGATTCACTTTAAAAACAATTTATCCTTAAATGTGTAGTTTACAACTAAAGTAAGTTTGTTAGTAAGTAAGTCAGCAAGTAACTTAGGTTCATAGCCAATATAGAAGTCGTCACTGAGTTAGCTACTTCTGTACCTATGTTTAGGTAACCTTCGCGATTTGAACCAAATGTCCAACACTTTGGACACTTTCAGACAAAACAATGTCTTCAAAATCGGATTCAAGATTACTGTGGTATTAATCCAATTCTGGATCAGTTCGTTGGCCATCATCTGGAGCTCAGTATTCATATATTTAATGATTTATTACAATTACATTCCTGTGGTGTCGACGACAAGAGATGTGTTCATTCAATACCACTCGACGTGTGACCGAAGTCTTCGCGACAACATCTGCAACGTTCCGACCGCTAGAGTGGCCCTCAAACAGAGCCGATCCACAGACTTCATGAGGGGTCAGATGTATGGCTTCAGNACAAGAGATGTGTTCATTCAATACCACTCGACGTGTGACCGAAGTCTTCGCGACAACATCTGCAACGTTCCGACCGCTAGAGTGGCCCTCAAACAGAGCCGATCCACAGACTTCATGAGGGGTCAGATGTATGGCTTCAGTATTGATCTGCATTTGCCGGAGTCGGAGGTGAACTGGTCTCAGGGACTCTTCATGGTTAGACTCAAACTCGTCGATCAAAAGCAACGGGTGATCGCAAATGTGGCCAAACCCACGGGTCTTCGCTATAAGAGTACACCACTCCGAGTGATCGTTACGCTCTTGTATTGGCCTCTCTTTGTGTTGGGTTTGGCCGAAGAGAATCAACAAATCACTGTCGACCTCATTGACGATTACACGGAAGGCAGTTATCCCAAAGCGGGACCAATACATGAGGCCATCATTGAGTTTGAGGCCAGAGATGTCCAGATCTATCCGCCGACTGTACTAAAAGTGAGGGCAACGTTAACTGGCTTTCGTTATTATATGCATAACTATAGAGTTACGAGTTTTGTGGTCGGCTCCTCAACCATAGCCTCCTTCTTGTATTTCATCTCTTTCTTCGCTTTCGCTAATTATCTGCGAATTAATTATAATAACAACAATCAGAACAACAATGAGGACAACAATCACGACAACAGCAACACTAATATCGCTGAACAACCGAATCGTGGAAATAGGGCTCAAAGAATGGAAGCGATTGAACACAGAAATGAAGACATTGACCAAAACGAAGCCGAAGATTCGGGTCTCACGGGAGAGATAGAGGTAGAGGTGATCGAAGATAACAATGAGACCAATGAGGCGATTGAGGCGATTGAGGCCAATGATCACAATCCGAACACTTCTTCCAATGAAGATTACGAAGAGACCGAACAAATACCCGACTCTTCTATTGGTTAGACTGTTTGTAAATAATACCAAATTTAAATTTTACCCAAAATGTTATGTTTTAAACATTTTATATTTTGTATTACTTATTAAAGAACTTTCATTTAAAAAAAATAAAAGTAATATATTTTTAAATAAATTTTTAATTGACTCAATATAATTGACATAAATGTTAGTATTTGTGTTATGAGTGATAGAAACAAAGATTAACAAATCGTTAATTAATTATATAAACAAATCAATGTCTTCACTATAACACACTGTACAGTATATGAGATATCGTTGAATATAATGACAGTTATATAAGTATTTGCATTTTAAAAAGAGATTTTCAAACAATATATTGTAAATATATATTCTGTTAGAATCGTAACGAATTACAACATAATTAACTGAAAAGAGGAAAATATATAATAAATTGATAAAAAGCAAATCCATTGTAACAACAATATTAGTGAAAGACAGGAAAATGTAGACTTTGACAGGAATTGACTGTTACGTCCATTTGGTGGTCAAAGGGTTGGGCGTAAAACATAATCAAACTGAAGAGAGTGGGATGCGGTACACCGCTGTGCAGACAATATCCGTTCTCATTCTTCTGGATCACGATGTGTTTGATTGTGCCTCTGATGACAATACTCAACACATATTTGCCCTCTAAGTTAGCGCTACTTCTCACCAAAAAAGTTCCGTCTTTTCGTCCTTTAAGAAGCCTTTCGGCATTAATTCGATTACATTTGGGTAAAAACCATTTGCTCTCGTCTTCGTGCGGAAACATAGACTCTGTATTTGAATCGTTATTCAAATTTTCGTCACATTTTTCAAGTAATTCGACGGCATTTAAATTCAATTTGTCGTTTGCTTTCAATCCGTTCGCATTCTTTGTTTCAAAGTCTTCTTTAGTCTTCTGTTTGATCAGCGCTTTTACCTCAGATTTATCCCAAACTGTAAAGCATTCTGTGAATTAAATTATGTTAAATTACTTTCATATTTTAAATATTATTTATATACTTTTATTTAAGGCAAACATGTTTGGCAATTGAGACCACGAAACACACATTTCAAATGGTACTCAAAGAGTGACTGCTATTTAAAAAACATGCGATAATCGGATTTAAAGTGAGTTTGAAAGTGAGTTTGAAAATATTATTTTATTAAACATTAAATGGTTATTGTAACTAATAGGTAAACATATTCAATCATTTTATCAATATATTGTACCGTAGTAATCATTAAATTTCCACTCAATTGTACTGTATTTTTAATATTCCATAATAAAAAAGACAAATTATAATTTTTAACACTTTTATAGATTACTAGATTACATGGAAAATTTCATTATCGTTATTGTTTTAATATATTCTTAAGTTAATGATTATATTTTTATCACTAATTAATCTTTTAGTTCTTGTAATTCATTATTTAATCTTAAGTCAATTATTTGGACCACAAATGCTATGATTTAGCATGATAAAATAGTAATCATTGTACGGTATGTCAGTATTCAGCTATTTAACATGTGAATACTTAACATTCAGTGATATTAGCATCTTGGTTAAGAGCTAATTAACATTTATTCGTAAACTATTTTAATGGATTTTATTTGTTAAATATCTTTATTCATTCAACACAATGTTCATTCATAAGACAATTTAAAATTCATTTCAATGTCTATAAGACCTGATGTAATAATCAGTATTTCTAATTTGACTTAACTGTTACTTTTACTCAAGTATACATTGTTCCGATTGCTAAGTTTGTGTACTTCCAATATTTAATATTTGAACTAGAAAGACCAAGTTTATTTATTTTATTGATATTTTGAATAATGACACAATTGTGTTGCAATCATGTTGAATCTATTTAATAGGCACAACATTGTTGTTTATTTCGCTTGTTTTACACAATTTAAACGCAAATCAATGACAGTATTCTTTTGTTATATGGAATCCAATTGAAGCCCAGAGTTAGGCCAAAGAATTGTTTAGCTATTATATACTTACGTCAAACTTAATGATTAAGAATATGATTGAAATGTTTTGAAAAATATTTTTAATGAATTTACTATAGAAAGCTCAACACATTTACAATTTTTGAGACTATATTTTATTAAAATTATTT